AGAGAGAGAGAGAGAGAGAGAGAGAGAGAGAGAGAGAGAGAGAGAGACAGAGAGAGAGAGAGAGAGAGAGAGACAGAGAGAGAGAGAGAGAGAGAGAAAGGTGTGTTGTCCTTAATTTATAGATGAATGCTGTACATTTTAAAGGGTCATGAAATAAACATTATTGATATAACATTTCCTCAGATATTATTCATTTATTTTTGGTAACAGCAGGGAATAATTTGGCAATGTATTCCCTGCTGTGTATGCCGGTAGATCTGCCCTGAAGTCAGAAGAAGAGGGATATAAGATTCCTCTTGTGTTTCTCAGGGGCATATGTATAAAGTAATGAAGGTAAATTTCACCAAACATTCACTGTTGGTGCATCAATCACTGCCATTTAACACACATGCACCAGGAATTTTCAGCTGCAGCGAATGTCAAGTTAACTGTTTTATAAAGTTGCCCCTCGATTTTATAATTAGGGACCACCAACAGATCCCTTCACACAATCATCACAACATCATTGCTCAACACAGCTATGCAGCCACCTGAAAGCCTGGCAATCATGACCTGCTCCTCGTATACATGCTCTGCTGTCAGAGGATTGGAAGCCTGGGGATAAGGATAACCGTGCCCATGCTTACCTGCACCCTGACTTCTGGCAGATTGACCTTCATGGCCAGCTCCTCCCGGCTGTACACATCGGGGTAATGAGACTTCTCGAAGGCTCTCTCCAGCTCATGCAGCTGGTAGGTGGTGAAGGTGGTCCGGTTCCTTCGGTGCTTCTTCTTGGGCTGCTCATCATCCGACTTACTGTCACCGTTACCGCAGGACAGTCCGGGGCTCAGGCACTCATTGGAGCTCTTACTGCAGTAAGCATCTACGAATCAAGAGTTCGAAAAGAACATTAACTTAACCGCATTGGCTTCGTGTAGCGTCAACATTTACCGTAGAGCAGTATAGCGAACCACCAGCCCAGTCCCCAGGGAACGCCGCTAGCATCGCACTTTCAATAACTACAACTCAGACTGGGCCCACAGACTGAAATCACAATTTATATCGTTTTTAAAATATAATATAATACCCAAGAAACAATATAACCGAATTCAGATCACATGTCGTAATAATGACATTTAATATGTATGTTTGTAAATAGCACCGAACAACACAACTTGCTGCAAAAACATGACATTTATGAATGAAATATATCTAAATATCAAACTGCTTGTTGTGGGTTGTTAAACATGCATTTGTAGGACAGAACATTCCACAGTTAACTGTGTAATATATATATATATAAAAGCAAGGATATATGTCCTAAATAAACAACAAAGTAATACTATAAATAGCTGCTATCAACATTAAAAGACATAAAAAATATTTGTGTGACAATCGCAGCACACCATCAATGATACCAAATAGGTAATATAATATAAAATAACTTTGGATGCAGTAAGTATTTGATCCTCACTCCAGTTATCTTATTTCCTGAACTCAGAGAATATTTATACATAAAACATGTTGCACCAAGTAACAGACCATGCAACAGCATAAAAGAATAAAACAGAACACCATCGGATGTTATTCTGACGATATAAACTAATTTCCACCAAGTTTTAGAGAGTTGCTAAAAACTGAAAACTCACTGAAAAAATGTGATTCCCTAAATAGATAGTATTGTAAGACCAATAATGCAATGTAGAACACTATAATCAAGGAGGAAAGCTAAATTTATAGGTATTCTAAAATAATATGACATCATATAAAGTCACTTTGAAAGTGGAGTAAGCATCTTTCCATCAAAGAGCAGGACCTTATGCAAGAAACAGTCATAATATTGTAATACAGTTTAGTATAGTATAGTATGGTATGGTATAGTATAGTTTTGGTATGGTATGGTATAGTATATTTAATATAGTATAGTACAGTATAGTATAGTTTAATATAGATAGCATAGTATAGTATACAGTAGTATAGAATTGTATAGTGTAGTTTAATATAGATAGTTTTGTTTAGTATAGTATAGAATAGAATAGTACAGTATAACATAGTACAGTATAGTATAGTATAGTTTAGTATACAGTGATATAGAATAGTATAGTTTAGTATAGTATAGAATAGTATACTATAGTTTAGTATAGTACAGTATAGTATGGTATGGTATAGAATAGAATAGAATAGTTTAATATAGAATGGTATAGTATAGTATAGTATAGTATAGTATAGTATAGTATAGTATAGTATAGTATAGTATAGTATAGTATAGAATAGAATAGAAATGTATAGTATAAGAAAAAGTGACACATACAGCCTAATATAATTAGAGGAGTTGAGAATCATCACATGATATTCTCTTCAATTATCCAATCATGTGCAGATGAAATAAGTAAACAGTATTATGCTTTTCCCCTGATTGGATAATTGAAGAGAGCATTTATAAAACTTTTTGTGCAATGATTCTAAACATATTTAGTGATTCAACCTCAGAATATAGTGTGCTATAATAAAATGATACAATGTTACCTGTATCACTTAGTTTACTTTTTAGGCTAAGGATTCTTATTTTCAGAAAAAAGTGTTATATTCAGAGATTTAGAGAGTCTAATGAGATGTGAAAAGCACAGTCACATGGCTGACCATAAAGATACTTATGCTTGTGGAATGCTTCCTGAACTGAGCCCTCAGTATTAAAAATGAACTATGAGTATGATATGATACATGCACTTTAAGAAAGTATCAGCCAGTTCTGAAAACTGTGAGCAATTTGAGAGTAAAACTACAAAAGTGACATATATCATGCTGATGTATAACTTTCAAAATGACACATTATAACACAATAACATCATGTTCTATAATGAAGTATTATGCTATGTGGAAATAGTACAGCTGGCATAATGTAGTGCAGTGAGATAAAACAGCACAGAATGATTTACCATACAGCAGTAAAATAGTATTATATTATATTATCTATGTTATTGAATTGGCAGAGACTTACCTCCATAGCCCTCCTCTTGCCTATCCTCCAGATGGCTCTGCTGGGGTTGTATCTCCTCGGCCATTTTGATCAAGCAGTGTCTGGAAGCCCTTTTCTCAGCCTCCTTGCCATTCCTGGGACTGCCCTCTGCCTGGAAGGAGCTCAAGACACTGTCCTCTTTGGAAAATCCCAGGATGGCCTCAATGCTGTGCAGTCTAGAGGAGTTCCCTACTGGACTCCTGACCAAGTGTCCAGACAGAGAGAAGCTACCATCAGCCATCAAGGAAGGGCTGTGAAGATGCATTGGGCTTCCCTCGTCCTTTTATCTCCAGGGGGGGTACAAATAATGACTTTTCTTGTTCCTTCTCCAAATCAGAGCCCTCTACAAGTCCACTTCTGGGTTTAGGGACAGTTCCAAGGCAGTGACAGGCGAGGCCACCTACTATAAGTTCTTTTTAAAGACCCAGAATTCTGTCTGGTGCTTAAAATGGGAGACAATGCTTGGGAATTTCAGCAGGGCTCACTGGCTGAACAGGCTGCAAATCCCTAAGAAAGGCTGAATCCTCTAAGCTGGCTCTGTGTGTTTGTCAGCTCCTTCTGCCTGAGTTCTTGGTGAGTGTCTGTCCTTGAAGAGCCCAGGATCAGACTCTTACAACCTCTCAGGAAGGAGTGACTCAGAGACCCAGATTGCAGAAGACTTTTAAAGTAATTCTGTTCTTTGTGGTTGTCATCTGCCCCTGCTGTGCCATCCAAAGCTGTCACATCACCATGAAATAAGGCTTTTGTCTTTTTGGGGGGAGTACCTGCATGAGATGATGCTCTTGGAAGACCCGCCCCTCCACCCCCCC